GGAAGTAACCCCACACGTGCCCCCACCCCCCATTTACGCCCCTGATTATGAGTACGACAACTAAGTAGTATTCGATATAGAAAGGATTGTCTTGTTTTTGTTCGACTTTTTTTTTTCTATTTTGTGATTTTAGGTTCAATAATGAATGGTACTATTCATACGACTAGTGTAAATAGTTTAAGTTCAATTGCAGCACATATTACTAAGCATAAAATATCATGATAATTTGAATGTTGTTTCTGTTAAAAAAAATGTTTGTTTTTTTTTTGCATAGAAAAATTCAAATGAAACAATAACATATGATGATCGAACAGATATAGAAAATGAAACAGATAATGCAGATTCACAGTCAACTGATAAAAAATCTATAGATGTAAATAGTGTAGGTACGGCAACTTCTTAAAGCGGTATGTGAGAAAAAAACACTTATATGACATATGTCTGAATAAATGAGATCATATTTAACATATTTTTTGATGTCAACGGTCAGAATCAAATTTCATATTTTGTCTTAATTAATATTTAACTTTTGACAGAAAAATCAATTAAATTGGTTATAAGTCAAATTTTTTTCTATTTCAACAAGTATAGCTAGTATACCAATAATTGATCCAATGGCAGTTGATCAATCTCGAATATTAGAATCTTAACTTCCAGATTATCCAAAAAGTTCATTTCAATACAAATAAACCATCAGCAATGAATATAATTGACAAAATTAGAACGAACATTATCAAATATAACACCGTTTTTACGTGATATTTTTAGTAAATTTTCATATATTCTTACAAAAACATTAGTTGGTTCACATGGACAAGAATTATTACCTACCCATGTCGCACATTTATTTGAACTACCGGTGGTATACCGCGGTACTTGAAAAAACCGCCGGTACACCGGCGGTATACCGATGGTTTTATTGAGTACCGCGGTATACCGGCGGTTTTATTAAGTACCGCGGTGTAACGGCGGTTTTATTAGGTACCGCGGTATACCGGCGGTCAAAACACTACCAAAATACAAATCTATTTATCTATATAGATGACTATTTTTGTTTCTTTAATTTAGATAATTCTCAACATAATAATGAGGAGTAAGTATTTATTACAGAACTTTTAATATTTTTCTTTTATTTATAGTACTCTCAACTCCAAGAGGTAAAGTAAGCATTTATGTAAATTATTTGTTTCTTTCATTTAGATCGATTTTAAGATCACAATGAAAAGTAAGTACTCATTTATAAAATAATTTTTTGCTGGTTTAGAGCAATGTTAACAACAAAAAGAAAAGTAAGTATTTTTTCGTGCAAATTTTTTTTTCTTTTATTTAGATCAATCCGAAAATGATCGACTTAACAAAACGACGAAACGAAGACGAAGAAGCCATTGCTAACCGTATCTACGATTCGAAGTCTTACATATCAAAGAAGAAATGTAAATTTTCATTGGTTGCAAGTTGGTTTAGTGAATTTATGTATTAAAAAGCCTCTTAGTTTTTTATTTATATATCGAAAGTTGTTTTTGAGTGAAATGTAACCGTTATTGAAATTCTTTTCGGAAACAGTTAAATTTCACTCAAAAAACAATTCACCATGTCTAAATAAAAAAGTAAGAGAACTTTTTATTAAATAGATTCACTAAATCAATTTGCGGCCTTTGATAATTTACATTTATTCTTAGATTCCTAAGACTAAGGATCAGTAGATTCGTATCCTGATCATGCCGGTATACCGCCAATTGTTTTGTTACTACCGGTAAATACCGCCGGTGAACCGCCGGTATACCGCCGGTTTTTTTGCAATTACCGGCAAAACCGCCGGTAGAGCGCACATTATACCGAACGGTCTACCGGCGGTATACCGCCGGTTTTTTTCCGGTTCGAATCACATGGGAAGTGTTAGAAACTTTCTGCGATGGTACCCGACATAGTGAAGATAATGTCTATGCTGATTAGAAAAGCTTTAGTTGTATTCTCTTTCAAGTATTTTTTCTTAAAGAGGGTTCTCAATTTCAGCTGCGGGTTTGAACAAGGCTCACACTTTTAAGTTCACTTTTAGATTTATTAAGGAAACTATTTATTATTATTACCTCACATTGTTCAAGTGTAAATTTTTTTTAGTGCGAAATTGATAATCTTCTTCGTGTAGAAATATTGATGGAACCTTTTGATATAGTATTTTTGAAACATTCTTCATATGTAAAATGTAATAAACTACAAATACAAATACAAATAAAAAAAAAAAACTTT